GGCTTGCCCACACCTAACCTTAACCCCCATGGAGATCCAGGCCGCCCCCACGCCTGCACATAGCCCCCCTGGAGGTCCTGGGCTTGCCCACACCTAACCTTAACCTCCATGGAGATCCAGGCCTTCCCCACACCTAACCCTAACCCCCATGGAGATCCAGGCCGCCCCCACGCCTGCACATAGCCCCCCTGGAGGTCCTGGGCTTGCCCACACCTAACCTTAACCTCCATGGAGATCCAGGCCTTCCCCACACCTAACCCTAACCCCCATGGAGATCCAGGCCGCCCCCACGCCTGCACATACCCCCCCTGGAGGTCCTGGGCTTGCCCACACCTAACCTTAACCCCATGGAGATCCAGGCCTTCCCCACACACTAACCCTAACCCACCCCCTGGAGATCCAGGCCGCCCCCACCCTGCACATGGCCCCCCTGGAGGTCCAGGCCTTCCCCACACCTAACCTTAACCCGAATGGAGATCCAGGCCCTCCCCACACCTAACCTTAACCCCCATGGAGATCCAGGCCGCCCCCACGCCTGCACATGGCCCCCCTGGAGGTCCAGGCCTCCCCCACACCTAACCTTTACCCCCACGGAGATCCAGGCCGCCCCCACGCCTGCACATAGCCCCCCTGGAGGTCCAGGCCTTCCCCACACCTAACCTTAACCCGAATGGAGATCCAGGCCCTCCCCACACCTAACCTTAACCCCCATGGAGATCCAGGCCGCCCCCACGCCTGCACATAGCCCCCCTGGAGGTCCTGGGCTTCTCCACACCTAACCTTAACCCCCATGGAGATCCAGGCCGCCCCCACACCTGCACACAGCCCCCCTGGAGGTCCAGGCCTTCCGCACACCTGACCTTACCCCCCATGGAGATCCAGGCCGCCCCCACGCCTGCACATAGCCCCCCTGGAGAACCAGGGCTTCCCCACACCTAACCTTAACCCCCCCTGGCGGACCTGCCCGCCCCCAGGCCCGAGCTCCAGGGGCAAAATGCTTACAGCACCTGGTATTCCCAGGCGGTCTCCCATCCAAGTACTAACCAGGCCCGACCTTGCCTAGCTTCCGAGATCAGACGAGATCGGGCATTCTCAAGGTGGTATGGCCGTAAGCACGGGGGTATGGAGCAGCGTGCCTCCTGACCCTGCTGCTGCGGTCCTCTCCTCCCCCAGAAGGAGCGCTCTTGGGCGGATGGCAGGCGCACGGTCCCCCGGTGGTTTCCAAGGGCCATAACTTTCTGGTCCTTGGTCCCCCGCGCGTCAAATTCACACCGCGGGTACCCCGGGACCAGGGGAGTCCCTGGGTCCCACCCCCGTGTCTGTAGCCCCCCTGGCTCGGCTTTGAGGAGCCCGGAAAGCGGGGCTTTCTTCCCCCGGGAATGGGCGCCCAGGCCCGGATCTGAGCGGGAGCAAAGCACACCCCGGTGGTAGCCCAGGACCAGAGGAGTGCGTGGGTGAAAACCCCATGTCTCTAGCACCCATGGTTCGTTTTCTACAAGCCATGGAAGCCGAGGTTCTCCTCCCCCAGAAGGAGCGCTCTTGGGCGGATGGCAGAGGCACGGTCCCCCGGTGGTTTCCAAGGGCCATAACTTTCTGGTCCTTTGCCCCCCGCGCGTCAAATTCACACTGCGGGTACCCCTGGACCAGGGGAGTCCCCGGGTCCCACCCCCGTGTCTGTAGCCCCCCTGGCTCGGCTTTGAGGAGCCCGGAAAGCGGGTCTTTCTTCCCCCGGGAATGGGCGCCCAGGCCCGGATCTGAGCGGGAGCAAAGCACACCCCGGTGGTAGCCCAGGACCAGAGGAGTGCGTGGGTGAAAACCCCGTGTCTCTAGCCCCCATGGTTCGTTTTCTACGAGCCATGTAAGCCGAGGTTCTCCTCCCCCAGAAGGAGCGCTCTTGGGCGGATGGCAGAGGCACGGTCCCCCGGTGGTTTCCAAGGGCCATAACTTTCTGGTCCTTGGTCCCCCGCGCGTCAAATTCACACCGCGGGTACCCCTGGACCAGGGGAGTCCCTGGGTCCCACCCCCGTGTCTGTAGCCCCCCTGGCTCGGCTTTGAGGAGCCCGGAAAGCGGGGCTTTCTTCCCCCGGGAATGGGCGCCCAGGCCCGGATCTGAGCGGGAGCAAAGCCCGCCCCGGTGGTAGCCCAGGTCCGGAGGAGTGCGTGGGTCCAAACCCCATGTCTCTAGCCCCTCTGGTTCGCCTTCTACGGGCCCGAGAAACCGCCACTTTCTTGACCGAGAATAGGCGCTCGTGAGCGGACACGGCCGCGCTGTCCCCCGCTGATTTTCAGACCGACGTAACATTCCCGTCTCTTGTCCCCCGTGCGTGAAAATCACAGGGGTGGTAGCCCAGGTCGAGACGTGTCCCTGGGTCCAGACCGCGAGTCTCTGGGCCTCTGCGTTGATTTTTAACCAATTTCTGGAGATTCTGTATTCCTAGGCACACAGGCTTTTGGAGGAAAAAATGACAAAGTGTCTAGCGAGCTCAAGTGCCTTTTGCGCAGGCCGTAACTTTTTTGTCTTTCATTTCCTATGAGTGAAATTCACGGAGGATGTAGCCCAGGTCCAGAGGAGTGCGTGGGTCCAAGCCCCATGTCTATAGCCCCCCTGGTTCGCCTTCTACGGGCCCGTGAAACCGCCACTTTCTTGACCGAGAATAGGCGCTCGTGAGCGGACACGGCCGCGCTGTCCCCCGCTGATTTCAGACCGACGTAACATTCCCGTCTCTTATTCCACGGGGCGTGTCGGTCCGACACCGGGTGCCGGTTCTAGGGCGGTTTGGAAATTCAGCCCGGGACTCCCGGGCTGACGAGAAATAACCCTCACTCTGCGTCCCCAAAACGGCTATAACTTTCCCGTCTCTTATTGCAGGGGGCTGAAATTTTCAGGGATGGTAGCCCAGGTCGAGACGCGTCCGTGGACGTCTCGGGCGTGTCGGTCCGACACCGGGGGCCGGTTCTAGGGCGGTTTGGAAATTCAGCCCGGGACTCCCGGGCTGACTAAAAACGTACCAAAACGGCTATAACTTTCCCGTCTCTTATTGCAGGGGGCTGAAATTTTCAGGGATGGTAGCCCAGGTCGAGACGCGTCCGTGGACGTCTCGGGCGTGTCGGTCCGACACCGGGGGCCGGTTCTAGAGCGGTTTGAAAATTCAGCCCGGGACTCCCGGGCTGACGAAAAAATCCTCACGCTGCGTCCCAAAAAGGCGAGGTCAAACCACTTTCTCCAAGGGACCTATATGGGGAATATAGAGAGGGTGTTGGTCGATGAACAGAAACATAGACACATGTGGTATCTGCGGATTCGTCTCTACGAGGCCGTTCGAATGGTGCACACGGCATGCCTCTGCGGGGCTCCTGGTGGAAGTGATTCGAGCCAGACGGTTCCCTCACCTATATGGGGAATATGAGAGAGTATGTGTTTCAATCCAGAGACATCCAGGCTACAGGCAGAGAATATCAGTCCGATGGAAGGTGAGTGACTGTGGGATGACCTGAAGCGCCTGCCCGTCGTGGTCTCAATCTCGGAATGAGAATAAACCCATACAAATTTGGTATCTACGGATTCGTCTGGACGAGGCCGTTCGAATGGTGCACACGGCATGCCTCTGCGGGCCCCTGGTGGAAGTTATTCGAGCCAGAAGGTTCCTCACACAGCATGCCTGACTCTATCGCAGGCTCCAGCGCGGGCTAGGGGCTATCGCCGGACCTGTCGGTGGTGAGACCGAACGCCCTGTCTCTCCCGGATGCACAGAGACGCCAGACTCCCACCTCGGGGTGCTGGGGCTGGGCCCTTATAGGCGCGGTGGTCGGGCGAAGAACACTTTTCTTGAAACCTAATTAGAGCCTTGACAGGCTCAGAGCGCTCACCCTCTGGGATCCCAAGTGGGATGACCAGCTATTAGACCCTGAATGGTGCACACGCTACGCTGTCTAAATACTAGGTCAAGCAGGCAGAGCTGGCCTAACATGTACACACTGCCCGTCACCATACCAATTGAGTTGGTCCTCGGATCAGCCCCGCTGGAGTCGGTCACGGCCCTGGCGGAGCGCTGGGAAGGGGATCAACTATAATGCCTAGAGGCCCCGGGCTGGTGGCTCTTGGCGGACCTGTCTGTGGCAAGAATGAGATTCCCTGTCTACCCCAGATTTCACAAGAGACGTTGGGCCTTCACTCAGGCGTAGAGGTCAGAAGACACGCTTTCTCGTACCCCTCAGTAGGGCACAGACAGGCTCCAAACGAAAGCCCACGAACGCCCCGCACTACGACCAGGGTGCGTTCGCCCGAGGGGGTAGGCATTACCAGTTCTGGCTCTCGGTGGGTCTGCGGCGCGTGCCGCGGCCACGTGAGGCCGCCCAGGGAAAAAAGCCGAGGGCCCACCCCCTCAGTAGGGCCCAGACAGGCTCCAAACGAAAGCCCACGAACGCCCCGCACTCCGACCAGGGTGCGTTCGCCCGACGGGGTAGGCATTACCAGTTCTGGCTCTCGTGGGTCTGCGGCGCGTGCCGCGGCCACGTGAGGCCGCCCAGGGAAAAAAAGCCGAGGGCCCCTCTGGGGTGTCCCATAGCTGTCGTAGAGCCCGGGGCAGTCGGGAGTTTGTGGTGGGACTGAGGACTGGAGACACCGAGCGGGAGGCAGAGAGACAGAGTGCCTAGGCCTGTCCTCTGGTTTTCACTTGGTACCTCTCCCTCAGGCCTCTCTTCTCCCTTCTTCCCCCACACACGCTTCATGTCTCATTGCACAGGACGGGACCCCAGCACCTGCCTAGCAGGGCGGCACATGGCGAGAGGACGACGGCTGCGGCTGAGCCCCCGGGCTCAGGCGCCAGTCCTCTCGCGTAGTGACGCCCGCTGGCTCTAGACAGGCGGGGTACGTCCGTCCTCGGAACTTTGTCCCCGGCGCGGGGTTAAGGAGGCCTGGCCCGGGCCTCCCCCCCGCGCCACCCGCGGGTACCCAACGCTCGCCTCTCCCCCACGGGGAGAGGTGGAGGGTACTAAAGTCTCCTCGACCAGGGAACCCCCCCGGGGGCACCCTGGGACGGAGAGCGCCCGCGGGGTCCAGTCGTCTCCAGGCGACCCCTCGTCTTCCAGAGTCCAAGTGGCCTTCCTCGGAAACAAAAACCAAAAAAACTGAACGCAGCTAGCTGCGAGAACTAATGTGAATTGCAGGACACATTGATCATCGACACTTCGAACGCACCTTGCGGCCCCGGGTTGCTCCCGGGGCTACGCCTGTCTGAGGGTCGGTTTGTCATCCATCGGGAAACACGCGCTCACCCGCGTGTCCCTCCCGCGGCTGGGGTTTCGCAGCGCGGCAGGGGGTCGATTCCTCTCGCAGGTTCGACCCTCGTCGGTCCGCGGTTCGTGCCCTCAATTGGAGCCGGAATTGTGTCCCACCTTCGGGCTCACACACCTCCCCCGTGTCTTCCCCTAACCCAAAGCGCCAGGCCTCCGCCTGCCGCGTGGTCCGGGCGCGGCTGTTGGTAAACCCCCGCGGTTGATCGATCTGCCCGCGTTACGGCACGTGACTGGAGGCCTGGCCCGGGTGAGGGGGACGTGGGGGGTGGCCCAGGCGTGCCTGGTCGCTCCCGCGCCCTGTGCACTTGTCATCCATCGGGAAACACGGTCCTCCTCACAGGGCCCGTGTCCCTCCCGCAGCTGGGGTTTCGCAGCGCGGCAGGGGGCTGTTCCTCTCGCAGGTTTAGCCCCCGTCGGTCCGCGGTTCGTGCCCTCAAGTACAGACAGACCCGTGTCTAACCTCCGGGTCAAAAACCCTGCCCGTCTCTCCCCCCCCACAATGCCAGGTGTCCGCCTGCCGCGTGGTCCGGGCGCGGCTGCCGGTGAACCCCCGTGGTTAACCAAGCTGCCCGCGTTATGGCACGTAGCTGGAGACCAGGCCCGGGGGGGGGGTCTCAGGGGGGGGGGGGAGGGGACGGCCTGGGTGTGGCCGGTCCTTTCTTCCTCCCTTCCTTTAGATTGTAGTACCAGACACACGTTGAAAATCAGACTAAGTGTTTTGAGAAAAAACCTAAGTGTTTAGGCTGTAGGACCAGGCACACATTGAAAATCAGACTAAGTGTTTTGAGAAAAAACCTAAGTGTTTAGGCTGTAGGACCAGGCACACGTTGAAAATCAGACTAAGTGTTTTGAGAAAAAACCTAAGTGTTTAGGCTGTAGGACCAGGCACACTTCGAAAATCAGACTAAGTGTTTTGAGAAAAAACCTAAGTGTTTAGGCTGTAGGACCAGGCACACTTCGAAAATCAGACTAAGTGTTTTGAGAAAAAACCTAAGTGTTTAGGCTGTAGGACCAGGCACACATTGAAAATCAGACTAAGTGTTTTGAGAAAAAACCTAAGTGTTTAGGCTGTAGGACCAGGCACACTTCGAAAATCAGACTAAGTGTTTTGAGAAAAAACCTAAGTGTTTAGGCTGTAGGACCAGGCACACATTGAAAATCAGACTAAGTGTTTTGAGAAAAAACCTAAGTGTTTAGGCTGTAGGACCAGGCACACTTCGAAAATCAGACTAAGTGTTTTGAGAAAAAACCTAAGTGTTTAGGCTGTAGGACCAGGCACACTTGAAAATCAGACTAAGTGTTTTGAGAAAAAACCTAAGTGTTTAGGCTGTAGGACCAGGCACACGTTGAAAATCAGACTAAGTGTTTTGAGAAAAAACCTAAGTGTTTAGGCTGTAGGACCAGGCACACATTGAAAATCAGACTAAGTGTTTTGAGAAAAAACCTAAGTGTTTAGGCTGTAGGACCAGGCACACTTGAAAATCAGACTAAGTGTTTTGAGAAAAAAACATTGTTTTTCATTAGGTCGTGAAATACTTAGTTGAAGCACTCCCAAGCGGAGTTACCGATCTCTATACTTATCTGTATAGAGATAGGTAAGGGCTGGAGAGGGCTGCCCTTGGATGATGTTGGCAGCGAGGAGGTCACTTGAAGTACCAGGGTTGTCCAAGCAAGCCTAGTGGCTGCTGAGTTGAAAGAGTCTGAACCCGCCTGAAAATACGTGATTCACGGTAACGGTTTAGCAACGTCTTTATGCCGGGGGTAACTGGTGTAAACCATAGCCAAAAATAGTCGCCATTTGGTCAGTTGTCCTTAGACTCCACTCCTTTCAAGTCTGGTGAGCAAGTGATGGCTTTATGTCCAATATACCATCAACTTACAAGCAAAATTAATAAGGTTACGTTCTTGAAAAAACATCTGAACAAAACTATTTGATCATGATGCCGAAGCGCGAAGAGGACGACAGTTGTGTCATGTCAACTTTTGGAACATTTTCAATGTCAGATTCAAGTTCAGTTAAATCGAATGCAAATCTATGCTGTAAGGGGCGTTCATCCCTTCTTCCTCTAGCCTATCACTTAGCAGGTGGCGTGTCCAGCATGCAGGAATAACCTGGCAGAGGAAGGAGCCACACCACCCACCGTGCTAACCACACCGGGACAGCACGGTGGAGAGCCTATGTCCCCTGTCCGTATAGACGTCTAAGATGCCCTGGTAAGGTGGCTGGAGCCTTTTACTTGATCGGCGTTCAGGGAGGGGGACCGCAGCGGCTACAAAGCAGCTAAATATCAGTTCAGGGACCGAACTGAAAGCACAGTCCCGGCACAGAGATATTAAACAACTCTTCTTGAGGCTGCAACCCCCGCAAAGCTCCTGCCCGGACCAAGTGTCCCAGCCACTCTGAGACACTGCGCGAGTGAGCTACTCCTGATGTTCACGACATTTTCAACTCCTCTCTGCAGTCCTCCATGTCCCGGCCTGCTTCAAATCCTCCATCATTGCCCCCGTCCCGAAGAAGCCCAGGTATCACAGGACTCAATACTACAGACTGGATCACTTACGTCTGTCGTCATGAAGTCATTTGAACGCCTGGTCCTCTCCCAACCCACGTCCCTCACCTCCCCCCTCCTGACACCCAGCAGTTCGCCTATAGAGCCAACAGATCTTAGACAACGCCATCACCTGGCCCTCCACCACATCCACAGCACTTGGAACTCCCCGGGGACCTACCCAGGGTCCTGTTCGTGGACTTAGCTCTGCCTTCAACACGAACCTGCCATCCCTGCGACCAGGACAAGCTCTCCCAGCACAACGTGCCCGTTTCCACCTGCCGGTGGATCACTGACGTTCCTGACAACAGGAGCAGCGAGTGCGGTCTGGGGAAGAATGTCTCGGACCTCTCGATTAAAAATACAGGAAGCCCACAGGGCTGTGTTCTTTCTCCCATGCTCTTTCCCTGTACACACCCTGCACCCTCCATCCTCGACTCTGTGAAGCTGCTCAAGTTACGCGTGAGTGACACCTCCCTCATTGGACTCATCACCAAGGAACGATGAGTATCCGCCTACAGGAGGAGGGACCGGCTGGTGTCCTGGTGAAGTGGTAACAACCTGGAGCTGGAACGCCCAAAGACAGTTGAGATGATTGTGACTTCAGGAAGAGCACTGTCCCCCCCGCCCCCACCTTCCGTGATGGACTCTCCCCTTCCGTTTCCTGGCACCACCATCCCCTGGAGCCCCCTCAAGTGGGAGCTGACCATCAGCTCCCTCATCAAGAAGGCCCAGCAAGGATGTACTTCCTGCAGCAGCTCAGGAAAGCCAGAGCTGCCTGCACAGATGTTTGGTGCAGTTCTACACGGCCATCATCGAGTCCATCCTCACCTCCTCCGTCACCGTGGTTCGCTGGAGCCACATTCAGGGACAAACAGAGACTACAGCGCATTGTGCGCTCGGCAGAGGAAGTGAATGTCCGCCGCCTTCATCGCTGCTAGGACTGTACTGTCCCCGATCTCGAGGCCGGCTGTCGGATCACAGCCGACCCCTCCTCACCTGCACATGGACTATTCCAACCACTCCCCTTAGGCAGAGACTGCGCCATCAGAACTATAACCTCCCTCACAAACAGTTTTCTGTCCCCTCTAGCTGTTGGACTCTTAACACTTCATAACCTGTCCCCCCGCCCTTTATAAAGTCACTTAACTGCCACATACTCACTTTACTTCACGTGTACTGCTGTCACCTTACATCGTGTGCACATGTTTTTTTGGCCAAACTTGTATAATGGAAATTAGTAACGTTAACTCTATTCTAAAGTTAAATGTATTCCTTAGAAGTGTTTTTATTCTTTATTTTTATTTTTTATTATATCTCTCTGACATGTCACTGAGCCGAATCAATTTCCAAGTCTGGGGACTTCCTGTGTACTACGTGGCCATAAAAAGATTCTGAATCTGATATTATAGCAATAAATGGCCTCACTACGAGGGATTTCTGAACATTGCCGTTGTCCTCTTCCCTTTGTTATGTTACGGCCTAAGAGCTGGGATCGTAACAATAAACAAAGTTATTTTTCCCAGGTTCCTGTGCGGGCAAAGGGAACAGAGAACAACAAACGATCATTTTGATCGCAAACCATATGAACCAACATCTCTTGTGTGGATAAATGGCAGGATGTAACTTGTAAGAGGCCAGCAGGACCAAGCTAATAAACAAAAAGTGCACCCGTGTCCAAACCCTCTGGTTGTACAAAAGAAGGCCCATCCCACCGAGGAATATAATTCACAGTGTGAGTCAAGGCTTTACAGTTTTGTCAAGAAGTGAAATTTAAATTGACTCATATTTAAGTACAGTTTTTTTAGTTTTTCTTTCTCCTATAATTTAAGCACGAGTTGGACTGTTTGAAAATGAGTAAAGTACACTGGCTCACAATATTAAATATCTTCTTTAGAATGAAACTCGCTTGTTCTTGATGATTACTTAGGCGACTACGCAACTGTAAAGTGTATGGTCTTTTTTGTGGTATCTTGGAGAGGAAAGTTAGTTTCTGAGTGTAGCTTGGTGCTAAAAGTTTGGATGAACCACTGACGTAGTTTGATGCCCAGCTGGCCAAGAAGCTGTACAAATGTAATTTCAATAATTCTTTGTGTGTGTTATAAAAAGATGACCTGGTTACGTGGTTTCGTGTTGTACGTGATGATTCTGATTCGGAGGTGTCCCCTTTCCTCAAGTGGGAGGAGTACGTCTCTTAGGTCTTTTTTCTCAGTGAGGGAAGGAGGAGCATGAAGTGAATTTCAGACGGATTTGTGGCAGCATGTGTGGTAATGCGGTCACGTGTATCAGACATTGGCGTGAAGAGACAGGCAAAGCTCAATATAGGGTACCACCCTTAGCTAATGATCATTTTAAGCAAATGCAATTATTTAAATAGTTCCTATGTAACTTAGAGTTTCTACGAATAGCGTGCGTAGTCCCTAGGACTTCGCTAGTGGGATTCGCTCCGTGACCGCAAGTTCACACGCCAGAGAGGATCAAAATAATTTGCGCCAATCACCAGCCACCCTCCTCTATATAGGCCCGCCCTGCACACAGCCGCAAACCCCCTCTTGAACTCTGCCAGCCGGCTGGCCTGATGGGCTCCGTAGCTAAGGGACTACGCACCTATCGTAGAACTTAATTTTACATTTAGGTAACTAATAATTTTCAACGTCATGTGCTACGGCACTTAGGACTTCGATATGGGACCAGACGTGGACTATCCTGACCGACCAACCACAAAACCAAGTACCGCACCTGTAGGAATGCCTCCCCAAGAGCTACTGAAACCAGGCGGAAAGTCCAACCGAAAGGCCCCCTCAAGGAGGGACCTAACGGTTTAACTCAGTCCGCTTGCACTCAGCACGGAATGGGCCACCGACCGGCTCCACACATCCAAACGATAAGACCGTACGAAAGAAGAGGACGACTCCCAAGAAGCCGCACGGCAGACTCCACGACGACGCCCCCCTGCGGGAGGGCCCGTAGAGGCCGCCACCCCACGGGTTGGAATGCGACCTGAAGCCCACCGGGGGGGCCAGACCCTGCGTCTGATACGCCCGCCGCACAGCCGTGGCAAACCCAGTGCGCCAGCCGCGAGCGACAGCGGGGCCCCCTGTTCTTTGCCCAGACACACAACCTGAATGACGACGTCATGGGGGGGGGGTGCCTAGTAATGCCTCAGCAAACTGACAGGACACAGAAGTGGCCGCCGCTCCTCCTCGGGGGAGCATGCGTGGGCGGATAGAAAGCCTTATCCAGATGACTCTCGACCTAAAGGCCGACGTGATGAACTAGGGAGAAAGGCCGGATTGGCCACAATACCACCATGCCGTCGCCCTCTCCCAAAGGACAGGCAAGACGCATGGACCAATGAGACGCACACAAGTCGCTCCCGCCCTCTTTATCAGACGCCAACTCACAAGAGGGGCCGTCTACAAAGCGACAAACTCGGACTCGCCTCCGCCGCCCGGTCCAAAGGCACCCGACAGCCCCCTTAAGGACCACCCCTGAGTCCCAAACCGGGGCGTTCTCTGAGCGGGGCCTCCCTCCTGCCGCCCGTCCCCGCAGAAAACGTTTAACCCACATGAGAAACGGCTGTGAACCCCCCCGTATCAGTCGTGAACCCAGATGTAATGGCTGCCGTGAACACCGCCAATGTGGCGACAGCCCTCCCTTTGTCAAAAGCTTCTGTAGGAATCCCAGGACCCCTCCCGCGGCAACGCCTGGGATCCCAGAACAGAACCACACATCGCTGAAGGGCCTCCACCTCGTGGCGTAGGCCCCTCACAGTGGACGGCGCCCTCGCCCCCTGAATGGTCTCCACCACCGCAGGTGGAAGAAAGACAACCGACACCCAGGTCTACGAGGTTCCGCCTCCTCACCTCCAAACCCAAGCCTGCTGCCTGATTATCGGGCGTGAAAACAGGTACACCCCCCCTGGACTAGAGCCCCCTGCTCGTCCGGGAGGGCCCAGGGCTCCATCACCGCTCATGCCCCTCAGGAAGGGGAACCAGCGGGACTGTCCGGGAGCCTCCAGGATCACCGACCTCCTCTCCTAGTTCGATCCTCCGCAGCAGGACCTGCAGGAGACGCACTGGTGGGCAAGGCGCACAAGCAGCCCTCTGGCCAGGGGTTAATGACCAAGCCCCATGCCTATAGGCGGCCTCGTCCGCGGCCCCTTAAGCGAACCGGACGGGCACTGTGCGTTTTCTGCACTGGCGAACAGTCAACCACTGGACGGCCGAACCTCCGCCAGATCTCCGCCTACCGTGGGCCAGGCCCCACTCGTCCTGGATGTGGGCCCCCCCTGGACATCCTGTCCACCCCCACGTTCCGGACCCCGGGACGTGGCGCGCCCTGAAGACAGGAGGTGAAGCTCTGCCCACAGCGAGCGTCACCGTCGCCATTGCGATGGTGTGCTTTTCGGGAGAATGCAGAGCGTAACCCCGGCGCAATGTTGACTCCAGCCATAGAACCGGCACAAACCTTGCTCCCCACCATATGCTGTAGAAGTCCTGTGAGGGGCGAACGGGAGCTGGAACACGAGACTCACGGCCCCAGCCCTCTCCTGGGGTGTTCCTCGCAGGGAGGGGGGGTGACGAAAGGGCCAGGGGGGCCCCCTGCGTCACACCGGAGCGACGGGGCGGTCCACGATGTCCCTGCAGGCCCGAC